GCAGTTCCTACTATCTCTGGTGAAGAAGGCATTTGGTACACTTGCCTTCATCTGTCACAGCATTGAACATAGGAGTCGGGACATCATGTTACGGCTGTACAAGACAATTTTGAGGCCATATTTGGAATACTGCATACATTTCTTGTCACATTGCTATAGGAAGGATATTAATAAACAGAATAGGTGCAGAAAAGATTTACAAGGATGTTACTGGGCCTGGAGAGTTTGAGTTGTAAGGAGAGGCTGGATAGACAGGGACTTTATCCCTTGGAGCATAGGAGATTGAGGGGTGACCTTGTAGAGGTTTATAAAATGATCAGGGCCATAGGTAAGGTGAATAGCTAAGGTCTTTTCCCCAGGGTAGGAGAGTCCAGAACTAGAGGCCATAGGCTTAAGGTGAGAGGGAAAAGATTGAAAAGGGACCTGAGGAGCAACTTTTTCAAACAGAGCGTGGTGCATGTGTGGATCAAGCTGCCAGTGGAACTGATAGAGATGGGTACAATTACAACATTCAATAGATATTTGGATGGGTACACAAATAGGAGAAGTTTACAGGGATATGGGCCAAACGCGGGCAAATAGGACCAGTTCAGCTTAGGAAGCCTGGCTGGTATGGAAGAGTTGGGCAGAAGTGTCTGTTTCTGTGCTGAATGACTCTAAATGACTCTATTCATTCATCATCACTCAATTTAAATAGAAATGGCTCTAGAAAACTCTCTTGGGTAACATTTAATACAATTGATTCATATGGACTGGCCCTAAAATTCCAAACTTTGCACCTGCCTGCTCCTGACCCATATGCCTCCAAAGCTTTCCTATCCATGTACTTACCGAAATGACTTTTAAACATTATAAGTGTACCCATATCCTTTGGAAGGTTACCTCTCAAATGTCCTACACTCCAGTGGAAAAAGTCCCAGCCTATCCAGCTTTTCTTTATAACTTAAACCTTCCATACCCAGCAACATCCTGGTAAATCTCTTCTGAACCGTCTCCAGCTTAATAATATCCTTCCTATAACTGGGCAACCAGAACTGGATGCAGTACTCCAGAAGAGGCCTCACTGATGTCCTGTACAACCTCAACATGACTTCCCAACTCCTATACTGAAAGGGCTAAGCAATGAAGGCAAGCATGCCAATTGCCTTTTTAACCACCCTGTCTATATGTGACGCAATCTTCAAAGAATTATGTTTCTGAATCCTTAGGTCCCTCTGTTCTGCAGCCCTGGTTTATTGAACCAAAATGCAGTACCTCACATTTATCCAGAATGAACTCCTTACATTCACCATGATATGTGCAGAAATGTCAAATTTGAAAGGGAACAACATGTCATACTGAGTTGCCAAGTTAACTTTGATAGCTATGGAATGTATCCAGGAATGATGATACTCTGCAGCAAAAAGGAACAAGTCCAGGCAGTTTTGAATTAATCAAAAGGATGGGGAGCAATAATTCCCTGATGTGTTCTCCGGAATGATGCTTCACCCAATCACTTGACATTCCAACCCCATTCAGCACTGTATTCTCACGCAGTGTAAAATGTTGCTCCCTTTGAAATTTGACATTCTTGCATCTGACCTGATGAGGATAAGGCAATAAACCTTCACAGGCAAGTCTCTTTATGTTTCAGACGTGCCAGGAAAGCTTAGTGTTTGTGCTGTTTCATTCTCGTTTCAGGCTCCCTGAATCCATTAGCTTTGAAGAAGGTGCTTTGATTGAACCCCTCTCTGTTGCAATTCATGCCTGTCGTAGAGGAGGGGTTACAATTGGCAGCAAAGTCTTCATTTTAGGGGCAGGTAAGCCCGTTACATTATGTGAATAACTATTAGTGGCTGCTGAAAGTTTTACATGGAATTTTTCTCCCGTTCTTCCAATTATTTTCGCTTTTCCTTCTGCCAACCAGCAGTCTTAGTCTTCATCTTCAAGGGAGGATGGATTTGTATTGGAGGTGCCACAGTGAAGCCTCAGTAGGCTGTTCCTTTGATGAGAGGCTGAGCCTATGGTGGCCACTGGGCCTATTGTGTCATGAGTTTAGAAAAATGAGAAGTGATCTCACAGAATGTTTGCAGTGTAGAAGCAGGCCATTTGGCCCATCAAGTCCACACCAACCCTCCAAAGAGCATTTCACCAAGACCCACCCCCATACCCTATCCCCGTAACCCTGCATTTCCATGGCCATTTCACCTAACCTAGCACATCTTTAGACTGTGGGAGGAAACCGGAGCACCTGGAGGAAATCCATCCACACAGCTAGTCACCCGAGGGTGGAATTGGACCTGGGTCCCTGGCGCTGTGAGGCAGCAGGGCTAATCACATGTTGCTCATTGAAACATACAAAATTCTGAAGAGTAGAAACTGAGAGGTTATTTCAGATCTGCTGGGGAGTCTAGGACATGGGGCTCAGCTTCCAGATAAGGAACCCTTAGAACTGAGAGTTAGAACTGGGCAGCACGGTGGCTCAGTGGTTAGCACTGCAGCCTCACAGCGCCAGGGACCCTGGTTTGATTCCACCCTCGGGGGACTGTCTGTGTACAGTTTGCACGTTCTCCCTGTGTCTCTGTGGGTTTTCTCCGGGTGCTCCGGTTTCCTCCCACAGTTCAAAGATGTGCAGGCTAGGTGGATTGGCCATGCTAAGTTGCCTGTAGTGTTCAAGGATGTGTAGATTAGGTGGGTTATAGAGGATGGGTCTGGGTGGGATGCTCCGAGGGTCAGAGTGGACTTGTTGGGCCAAAGGGCCTGTTTCCATACTGTAGGGATTCTATAATAATAACTTCTTGTTGAGCTAAGGGATATGGGTCAAAGCCATTATAGGGAGTTAGGCCACAGATCAGTCATGTTCTTATTGAATGGCTTGAGGGGCTGAATGGCCTGCTCCTGTTCCTAGTTGAGATGAGGAAATCTTCCTGTGCTCAAAGGGCTGTGAACTTTTGGTGTTCTGTATCTCAGAGGGTTGTGGACACTTCATTGTTGATGTATTTAAGACTGGCGTAGACCAGATCCCCGAGGGAATCAAGGGATATGGACAGGAAAGTGGAGAGGTAGAAAAAGATGAACCACAACCATTTTGTTTTCATTTTTCTCTCATGGGATGTCAAAATCAGCACTTGTTGCCCATCCCTAATCGCTTTATGCCTTTGAACAAACTTCTAAACACTTTCCCTTATGTGCGTTGGTATTATGTTTTGAATTTACATGCTTTTATGACATGAAGTGTATGGGAGCATTTTAATACCTTACAGATACCAAATCAATACAACTTGTCATTGCAGAAAAAGAAGCAATCTGAGTTTTCGACAAATCCCGTAACAAGTTCACACCCCTCTTGCAGTTTGTGAGGGACACACCTGACTGCACTTTGCTGGGGAGTCCGGAAGGTGTGAAGATAAATCACGTATAGAAAAATCAGATTATGCCTAAATTCTGTAAATATCCTGGTTTAGTTTCTCGCCTGAGAGGCAGTAGTTATAGAATATCAGTCAAATCTGTGGAGTAATTCCTTGCAAATAGCTCTCGAGCATAGTACCAGAGAAAGCTATTCATCAGAGAATTGAGGGCATCGTGCCCCAGTTCTCAAAGGCTTGCTCCTGAAGAGTGAAGCCCAGCACTGAGAGAACTTTTCTCTGTCGCTTTGCCTTGTACCTGGTGAGTGCTTGTCTCACGAGCAACTTGTTTTGTCTGAAAGGGCCAATTGGACTCGTGAATCTGCTGGTTTCCAAGTCCATGGGAGCATCTCAGATTGTGATCTGTGGTAAGTTGTTTGTTTTGCGTGTCTCTTAATTTTAAGTACAGAAGGACGTCTTCTCCACCCAGAATCAATGCATTGTTAGCAAGTCAACGATTATTGTCAGTGGTATCAAACCTGAAATGTATATAACTGATTAACTGGCTCACAAGTCTGTGCCTGCACACATGAGAAAATTCAAGTTAGAATCCAATATATAATTTTAGTTTATCTTTACGCTGCCTCCTTCTAATTCCTTATTTACTATTTCCACTTCATGCAGAGAATTGTCTATGTAGCCTCGAGGTTTCTCTGCTTTAACATTTTGGAGGCTCAAAAGAGGCTGTTCTGCCTGTCATACGTTTTCGGGTTCTTGAAAAAGCAATCTATCTAGTTCAGTAAGGTCCTTTTCCCTCAAGTCGGTTTCGTATTCATTCTTTTAATTCTTAAAGTCATAGTCATAGAGTCATACATTCATACAGCATGAAAACAGACCCTTTGGTCCAATCAGTCCGTGCCGACCATAATCCCAAACTAGACTCGTCCCGCCTGCCTGCGCTTGGCCATTATGCCTACAAATATTTCTTCATTCATGTAATTTTTGTTGTGGGTGTACTCATCCACCACTTTCTTTGGAAGCTCATTCTACACATGAACCACCTCTGTGTAAAAAAAAATTGTCCCTCATGTCTTTTTTAAATGTTCTCCTCTCACCTTAAAACTATGCTCCCCCTGTCTTGGAATCCCCCATCCAAGGGAAAAGGAACCTACCATTCAGCTTCTCTCTAACCCTCATGATTTTATTAGAACCATAGAATCCTTACAGTGTAGAAGTAGGCCATTTGAACCATCAAGTCTACACCAACCCGCTGAAGAGCATCCCACCCAGATCCACCCCCCCGCTCCACTGTAATTCTGCATTTCCCACCACTAACCCATCAAGCCTGCATTCCTTTGGACACTTTGTGCAATTTAGCATGGCCAATCCACCTAATCTGCAGACCTTTGGACTGTGGGGGGAAAAAACCAGAGCAAACCTGCACCCAGGGAGAATATGGAAACTCCACACAGACAGTTGCCTGAGGCTGGAATTGAACCTGGGTCCCTGGTGCTATGTGGCAGCAGTGCTACCACTGTGCCACTCCCGTAGAAGTTATAAACCTCTATAAGGTCTCCTCTCAACCTCCTACACTCCAGTGAAAAATGTCCCAGCCTATCTAGCCTCTCCTTGTAACTCAAAGCCTCCATTCGTGGCATCGTCCTGGTAAATTTCTTTTGAACCCTCTGCAGCTTAATAACATCCTTTCTAACAAATGTGCATGCACACATGCACACGCACACACCCCTTTGAACCGTGTATTCCTTTAGAATTTGTCCCAAACAGTATGTATGAGCCAGGACTTAAAATAAGGACTGGTGTTTCAGTCAGGGTGGGGTGAGCAGAAAAGGCAAATCTTGTGTGGCATTATTGCCAGTCTGTTAATCCAGACAGCCAGGTAATGCCAAGGGTATCCTGGTTCGAATCCCACCATGGCAGATGGTCGAATTTGAATTCAATAAAAAAATCTGGAATTAAGAGTCTAATGATGACTGTGAAACCATTGTCGATTGTTGGAAACACCCATCCAGTTCAGTAAGGTCCTTTTAGGGAAGGAAACTGCCATCCTTACCTGGTCTGGCCTACATGTGACTCCAGACCCACAGTAAAGTGGTTGATTCTCCATTGCCCTCTGAGCAGTCAGGGATGGGCAATAAATGCTGCCCTAGCCAGCGATGCCCTCCTCCCGTAAATGAATTTATTAAAAAAAACCCCGAATGTTACACAACTCATTTTCTTGTCAGAAAAATGTTCTGATCTTTGATGTCATGATGGTAGAATAGCTAACTGGCTTGTGTTTGGGCACCAGACAGTGATAGCCTGAGTAAGGAAATGGAGGGGCACTGGTGTAATTCTGAAGAAGGGTCACTGGACTCAAAACATTAACTCTGCTTACTTCCAACAGATGCTACTAGAGCTGCTGAGCTTCTCCAGCAATCTGTGTTTTTGTTTCAGATCTCCAGCATCTGTTTCATTTCAGTCTAACTCTTTCTTTCTTCATTCTTTCATGGGATGTGGGCGTCACCAGCAAAACCAGCATTTGATGCCTGTCCTTAATTGCCCCTGAATAATTAATGTGCTTTGCTAGGCTTGTAACAGAGGGCAGTCAAGAGCCAATCATGTTGCTGTGGGTCTGGAGTCACATGTAGGCCAGACTCTATTGGGATGGCAGATTTCCTTCCCTCAAGGAGATTAGGGATGGGTTTTTGCCAAAATCAATGATAGTTTCATGGTCACCATCACAGACACTAGCTTTCAATTCCAGATTTTATTACTTGTATTTAAATTTCACCTGCTGCCCTGATGGGAATCGAACCCTGGTGCCCAGCGTATTAGCCCTGGCTTCTGGATTATTAGCTGGAGCCATTAGCACTACACCACTGCCTCCCACAACAATCCTCCCTCATTAATCATGTGGGCACCAAAGCCCAATCATCTTTTTGTCATTTGTTCACTGGTGTTGTTGTCTTCCCAGAGAACGGCTCGGCGGTTAGCACTGCTGCCTCACAGTGCCAGGGAACCAGGTCCAATTCCAGCCTCTGGGTGACTGTCTGGGAGGGGTTTGCACATTCCCCTGGTGTCTGTGTGGTTTTCACCTGGGTGGACTGGTTTCCTCCCACAGTCCAAAGATGTGCAGGTTCGGTGGATTGGCTGTGCTAAATTACTCATAGTGTCCAGAGATATGCAGGCTAGGTGGATAGCCATGGGGAAAATGGGATTACAGGGAGTGGGTCTGGAGATGGGATGCTCTTTGCAGTGTCATTGTGGACTCAATGGGCTGAATGGCCTGCTTACACACTGTAAGGATTCTCTGATTCTATGAATTGACTGCCTTAGGTTTTCACCTCTGTCCATCTTATGCTGTCCTTTCACTGGCCACAATGGATCAACTGCATTCAGTCCATTATGCTGTCATCCAGTTCCACCCCTGCTACCTTCTCCCACTTCTTCTGCCCCCTCCTATCCATTGTCTGTACTAAAGATATGACTGAAGCATTGTATCTCTCCCTCTGTCTTTGACATGATGTGCTGTTCTCCAGCTACTTCCAGAACTTCCTCAGTGTCTTTCTGTCTGTGTAGGATGTGAGAACATTCTCCCATATGTGTATATCTTCTCATCTCAAATGCATTCAGCTTAGTGAGAGTTCCCTTGTTTGTTACCCATCTTCCCCAGGCATATAAAATACAGGATAGAGCATAGCACCTCAGAGGTCTTTTCCTAAGACTCAGTTTCCGTTTCATTGATGTTGACATTTGTTCCATTCTGACAAAACTGGTCTTAGTTATCTCAAATCTTCTTCAGTCTGTTATTTACCATTAATGTTATGTGTTTGCTGTACATGTCATATCTCTGAGCAATGCAAAGATAACTATCATTCTACTTGAGTTTAAATTGTCTTAAGTAATTGCAAATTTCTACACGTGCTCTCAGCCCAAGTTCTTGAAGCTTTATAATGATGTCAGCTATTTAAGCTCTCTGGCTCCACCTACGGATTTAAGAAATCAAGTACAACAAACATAGATCAGGTCAGAAGTCACACAACACCAGGTTCTAGTCCAATAGGTTTATTTAAAAGTCACCTGATGAAGGAGCAGCACCCTCTAAAGCTTGTGATTTTAAATGAACCTGTTGGACTATAACCTGGTGTCGTGTGATTTCTGACTTTGTCCACCCCAGTCCAACACCGGCACCTTCATATCACAACATAGGTCTGTGAGTAAACCAACAGAATCAAACATAGGATTTGAGGAACATACCATTCTGATGAAGGGTCACTGGTCCTGAAATGTCTACAGATACTGCCAGACCTGCTGAGCTTTTCCAGCAATTTTCTGTCTTTGTTTCCGATTTCCAGCATCTGTAGTTCTTGCCGTTTTTATAATCAAAAAGGGGAGGTGATGGCCTAGTGTTATTATCGCTGGATTGTCAATCCAGAGACCCAGATAACGTTCTGGGGACCCAGGTTCAAAGCCCGCCATGGCAGATGTTGGAATTTGAATTCAATAAAATATCCAGAATTAAGAGTCTAATGATGCCCATGAATCCACTGTCGTAAAAACCCATCTGGTTCACTAATGTGTTTAGGGAAGGAAACTGTCATCCTTCCTTGCTCTGGCCTACATGTGACTCCAGACCCAACACCTCTGAACTGCCCTCTGGGCAATTAGGGATGGGCAATAAATGATGCCCAGCCAGCAACACCCTCATCCCATGAATGAATAAAGGAATAAACACATAGATCTATTAAACCATTGAACACTCTGGTAAATATTGCTGCACATGTACCTCAAATGCCATTGCACCGTTTCAGATTTATCACTGAAAAGACTGGAGAAGGCAAAGCAGATGGGAGCCAGTTTTACCATTGCAGTCGAGCAGACCATGACTCCCCAGGAACTGGGTCAGAAAGTGAAGCAGACTCTAGGTGGAGCTATGCCCGATATATCTATTGAATGCACTGGAGCAGAGCTATGTGTCCAGGGTGGTGTCTTTGTAAGTATTGGAAGCTGGCACGGCTGGACAGTGACCGGTTTGATGGTTGGATACCTGTGTAATTTATACCTTGTATAAGCTGTTCAAGAGAAACCTCACATGACTGATTCCGAGCAGGAAGGGCGTGGTCTTATGAGAATAGGTTGAGCAGGTCGGACCTCTACCCATTCAGAGTTTAGAAGAACGTGAGGTGATGTTATTGAAATGTCTAGGATCCTGAGGAGGGGTCTGACAGGGTGGATGCTGGGAGGCTGAGGTTACCATGAAGGACTCTGCTTCTCAACGTCTCCCCAAGTCTCAGGTTAAACCACCACCAATCGTCTCTGTCTCTCTAATGAGGGGGCCGCTGTAAGGAACTCTGAGACTGTGGCAACTTTACCTTTCATTTTGCAAAACCTGCACCTTGTATAACACCAACAGTGACACCCAGGGAAGGGATTGCTGAGGTAATGCAATTTTTACTCTAAGTACCTTAAATCAGAATTTGTGATTGATTTGATCACTGGGAGGGTCGATGGCGACAACTTGACTGAGAAAGTTCTTTTGCATTATTAAATCCTCGGCTACGATTGCAAACTGCAGAAATTGGGAATTTTGACAGGTGAATCTGTGACTGACTGAAATTGTGAATGAATGTGTATTGTTTATTGTATCTATTTCATGTGTTTCCTTAGGCAACCAAGTCTGGAGGGGTGTTGGTCCTTGTTGGGTTGGGGAAACCTTCAGCAAACATCCCCATATTAGATCTGTTAGTCCGAGAAGTGGATATCAGGGGAGTTTTCAGATATTGCAACACGTAAGTACTTGGAAAAAAAAGAAATATTTATGTAAGACTCCTGAATTCACTTGACTGACTGGTATGGGTTCAGTGGAAATCTCACATGCTGCATAAATAAAATTTCCTGCTGATTTTTCCATCAAAGTTGCAGTAGTCAATCAGAAGAACCCCTGAAGAGTGGCTCAGTGGTTAGCACTGTTGCCTCACAGTGCCAGGGACCTGGGTTCGATTCCAGCCTCGGGTGTTTGCATGTTCTCCCTGTGTCTGCGTGAGTTTCCTCCCACAGTCCAAAGGTGTGCAGGTTAGGTGGATTGGCCATGTTAAATTGCTCAAAGTGTTCTGGGATTTGCAGGCTAGGTACATTAACAGGGTTATAGGGATAGGTTGGTTACTCTTTGGAGGTTCAGTATAGATGGGCTGCATGGCCTGCTTCCATGCTGTGTGGATTCTATGATTCTAATCTGTGGCTGAATTACAGGTGACTTTGCTTTCTCAATCCTCCAGTGACTGAGCTCAGGAGTAAACGAAAACGATCAAACTAAAAGAAGAATATGTCTGATGCTCTACTGACTGAGGCGGCATGGTGGCTCAGTGGTTAGCACTGCTGCCTACAATGTTATAGCAATTGTAGAAACATGGTTGAGAGAAGGGCATGATTGGCAGCTGAATGTTCCAGGGTTTAGATGTTTCAGGCGAGATATAGAAGGATGTAAAAGAGGGTGGCACGGTGGCTCAGTGGTTAGCACTGCTGCCTCACAGCGCTAGGGATCCAGGTTCGATTCCACCCTCAGGTGACTGTCTGTGTGGAGTTTGCACATTCTCCCCATGTCTGCGTAGGTTTCCTCCCACAATCCAAAGATGTGCAGGTTAGGTGGATTGGCCAGGGGAAATGGCCTGTAGTGTCCAGGGATGTGTAGGTGGGTTATAGGGGGATGGGTGTGGGTGGGATGGTCTGAGGGTCAGTGTGGACTTGTTGGGCCGAAGGGCCTGTTTCCACACTGTAGGCATTCTATGAAAAGAAGAACTGTTAGAATTAATCACAAGTTGAGTTCAAACACTTAAAATGCTTGCCATCACTTAGAATTTCAAGGGGAACCCTTGCATCTGAGGGTTCAGAAAAGATTGATGGTTCTATGGATGCAAGTGTACCAATTATGGGCAGTCCACTTGGCCCCTCGAGCCTGCTCCACCATCCAAGACAATCATGGCTCATCTGACTGTGGGCTTCCTTATCCCAAATTATCGTTGGTGAGGGAAACATTCAAGCAGAGGTTGGAGAAACTGGGATGTGCTCCTTAAGAGATGAGAAGGTCCAAGATCAGATTTGATAGTTTCAAAACCATGAAGAGGTTCTGGACAGTATAGGTCAGGGAGGAACTGTTCCTACTGGTGTCCGAATCTAGGACTGGGGAGCACCAAATTAACGTGTTTTAAGAATTCATTCATGCGAAGTGGGTGCCACTCACGAGGTCAGCATTTAGAGTCCAGCCCTAAGTTAAGAGTCAACCACATGGCTATTTATCTGAGTCACATGTAGGCCAGACCAGTTAAGGATGGCAGATTTCCTTCCCCAAAGGACATTAGTGAACCAGATGGGTTTTCTTTAAATAACAATTGACAATTCACATGGTCATCATTAGACTAGTTTTATTTTATTCCAATGCTTTTTTCAATTCAGATTTCATCACCTACCCGATTCAAACAACTGTCCTCAGAACATTACAATAAAATGTCCCAATCCAGAGACTTGAGCGCAAGAAGCTAGTTTTAGCTCTGTTCTGGCAAAGAGTCGAAACATTAACTCTTGTTTCTCTTTTCATGGATGCTACCAGACCTGCTGAGTTTCTCCAGCACTTTCTGCTTTTGTTTCTGAGAACATTAGCCTGCCCTTCTGGATTATTAGTCCAGTGGCATTAATGCTACATCACTGCCTCCCCAGCACCTCTACCTTGATAAACGAACCAAGGCGATCTGAAACAAACCATTTTTTGTGCAATCAGCATCCTTTCCTCCCATGGAATAACTTGTTGTGATGATTTGAAATTAATGATCAACTCAGATTGACTAAGGACAGCACGGTGGCTCAGTGGTTAGCACTGCTGCCCCTCAGTACCAGGGACCCGGGTTTGATTTCAGTCTTAGGTGACTGTCTGTGTGGAGTTTGCATGTTCTCCCCGTGTCTGTGTGGGTTTCCTCTGGGTGCTCCGGTTTCCTCGTACAGTCCAAAGGTGTGCAGGTTTAGGTGGATTGGCCATGCTAGATTGCCCATAGTGTTCGGGGATGTGCAGGCTAGGTGGATTAGCCATGGGAAATGCAGGGTTAAGCGAATAGTGTAGGGAGCTGGTTGGGATGCTCCTGGGTTGGTTGGTGTGGACTCGATGGGCCAAATGGCCTGCTTCCACACGTAGAAATCAATCGAAGAAATCAGGCAGGAGTTTGGGAACTGTGCAGGTTCCCCGTTGCTGTCTCGTGTCAATGCCTCAGCCAATCTAAGTTAGGTTGCTAACCAATGAGCTCCCTTTTCTCCTGGCTGTTTGATTTTTGGCCTGGTCCACCCGAGTCCAACACCAGCACCTCCACATCGTGTTTGAAATTTGGCATTCTTGCATTTGTCCTGGTGAGACCAAGACACAGAGGTTTGACTGAGTGTCTGTCCTTTCATGATTAATATCTGAGCTGTTACAGGACTTTTATCTCTAAATTTTGAAGGTGCCAGATAACTTGAAATTGTTAGTTCACTTTAAAACTGAACAGCAATCAAAAATATTAAAGGTGGATGTGGAAGGTTATCGAGGGGTATAAGCTGTGGCTTGAGTGATTAAAATTGTACTCCCTTCTCTTCTCATTCCTGTCACTTTAGGTGGCCTGTGGCAATTGATATGTTGGCTTCGAAGAGAATCAATGTGAAACCTTTGATCACTCATCGCTTTCCCTTGGAAGAGGCTCTTGAAGCGTTTGAAACCACAAAGAAAGGAGTGGGAATCAAAGTCATATTGAAATGTGACCCGAGCAACAAGAACCCCTGAGAGGGTTGGTTACTGATGTGCAGCGTGCACCTCCAGTTGTAATCGTTCGTCAGTACTCCACCAACACTGGATAATTGTGCACATGTAATTCATGTGGGCAGAGGCACCTAGCTGTTAGGCTTCGCTCTGCTCAATATCCTGTCAATTTTTTTTGTTTTTCTTTTTGTTCGGTTTTAGCTGCCCTGGAACTCCAGATGCTGCAACACCTGACAGCTCCAGATCGAGTAAGGAGCACCCATTATTGAAATGGAAGGTATAGGTGACGTTAGGAACCATGTGAGTGGGTTTAACGATGATGGTCAATGTCAAAGGGCCCACAAGATTAACTTGAAGTCTTTGTTTCAGAATCCTTGCACTACTTATCTGTTGTTCCAGTCCCCTGAAATTTACTATACTTGAATTACTGCACTGTGGAATGTTTGGTTGAAGTAAATATCGAGGCTTATTAATATGATTTACTGATTGCAGAAGAGCAATATAATGTAGCCAATTGAAGGATCAAAAAATTGAATAAACATGTTGCAAATGATCTGTACATATATTCCAATCACTTTAATCCCCAATGACAACATATTTCCTCCATTTTACCAGGAAGCAGATCAGCTGCCTGACTTAGCTACACCGAGGGCAGTGTAGGCGTGATGAATATCGGAACAGGATATTTCCTATCTTGCTCGTGGCCCATTAAGGGTTAAGGGGGCGATAATGTGGCACGGTGGCTCAGTGGTTAGCACTGCTGCCTCACAGCACCAGGGACCCGGGTTCAATTCCACCCTCGGGTGACTGTCTGTGTGGAGTTTGCACATTCTCCCCGTGTTTGCGTGGGTTTCCTCCGGGTGCTCCAGGTTTCCTCCCACGGTCCAAAGATGTGCAGGTTAGGTGGATTGGCCATGGGAAATTGCCCATAGTGTCCAGGAATGTGTAGCTTAGGAGGGTTATAGGGGGATGAGTCTGGGTGGGATGCCTCAAGGGTCAGTGTGGACTTGTTGGGCCAGAGGGCCTGTTTCCACACTGTAAGGATTCCATGATCTATGATCTAATCCTATTGTAGCACAAGATTAAAGCACACGCGAGCCAGGCTGGCTATAAACAGGTCCAGGCAATGGGCCGTGGAGAGGCTCATCTCTGCCGACTGCCTGTCCTTCACGGTTATGTTAGTGCCCGGGTGTCCTTGGAGACAGAGCACACGGTGCCCATCAATGTTCTCGATGCCTTTAGAGAGAGGTGGGCACTGCATGGAAGATACAGTGCTTTGTCTCCCTCTCCAACTCCATCTTAATTTAGTCCAATCCCTTTCTCACTACCTTCCCCTCACTTTTGATGGTTTGCATTGCCCTTAATGGCTTTGTCATGTAAATATTGAATTAGCTACACAGGTGCTTTCACTGGTGACAGTTAGTAGTTATTTTTAAAAAAAAAATGTCACCGTGGTTTTGGTATTGGGAAAGTTGCCAAGTTGTGTATGATGACTCTTCTGGGTAGAAAGGAAGAGAGAAATAAGGAATGCCCATGTGGACCAGACTGTAGAAAAGTTAACGCACAGAAAGAGGCCATTTGGCCCATCAAGTTGGCTGATCAAATAGACTCTAGCTTATTGACCTTCTGTCCCACTGACATCACTGTCACAAGTACAGCCCAGAAGATGTGAACGAACCGCTTTGAATGAACAACTGTGGTTCCGAGACTCCAGAGACAGAAAGTGAAATGGTGAGGGCCCCATTCCTGCTCTCAAAACAGTGGGGTCTTGGCTGTTCAAAGAGTTGGGAACAAGGGAATGCCGTTTTGAATTCATAGGAGCCCTGCAGCGTAGAAGCAGGCCATTCAGCCCATCGAGTCCACTCCGAAGAGCATCCTACCCAGACCTATCCCTGTAAGCTTGCATGGCTAACCCACATAGCCTGCATATCCCTGGACACTATGGGCTATGCAGCATGGCCAATTCGCCTAAGATGCACATCTTTGGACTGTGGGAGGAAACCGGAGCAAACAGAGGAAATCCACGTGGACACGGAGAGACTGTGCAAACTCCACACAGGCAATCACCCGAGGCTGGAATCAAGCCCAGGTGCCTGGTGCTGTGAGGCAGCAATGCTAACCACTGAGCCAATGGGACGTGGGCATCAAGGCTGGGCCAGCACTGGTTGCCCATTCCCTTGGAGAGCAGTAGGTGGTACCACGGTAAGTGGTCCCAAGCCTTTTTCGCTCACCGCCACCTCGCACTCTTTGTAAAATGGGTTTAGGTTTCAAATTAGATTTGAAGCAAAGACACTGCCCCTAACTCTATCTGCTGAAGCACAGGAAGAGATGAGCTTGCCATCCAGACTGGGGAAGGGCATCTCCTGCTGCTCACCAACCCCCAGACTCCAAGAGGTTTGTCTGCCTCTACCCCACTGTGTGCCCGCTCCAGTTTCTCCCAAACAGGATTTTGTGTCTCCAGCTGCTTCTTCCTACCCATCCTCGTGGCTAATGCCCTCTGTCTCTGCCCACACTTTTTTGCCAGCCAAAACACACTGCCCTTTAACCAGGTAGCTGCTGGGCTGTGCCTCACTGAAGGTGCTGAACCCTGAAGCTCGCTCAGCAGTCCCCAAGACCCGAAGTCGGGGCTTCTTACCATCACGGGATGAGATTGGGTTTGTTTATGTTCGCTATGTGAGCAGGTCAGGGGCTAGGAATACTGCAGTGAGTAACTCATCTCCTGACTCTCTAGATGGTGGACAGGCTCTACAAGGGACAAGTCAGGAATGTGATGGAATATTCCCCACTCGTCTGGATGGGTGCAGCTCTGACAACACTCAAGAAGCTTGACAACGATAAAGCAGCCTGTTTAATTGGCACCACATCCACAAGCATTCGCTCCCTCCACCTCTGACGCTCAGTAGCAGTGGTGTGTACTATCTACAAGATGCACTGCAGCAATTCACTGAAGATCCTTGGACAGCACCTTCCAAGCCCATGATCATCTAGAAGGACAAGGGCAGCAGTGACATGGGAACACCACCCCCTGCAAGTTTTCCTCCAAGCCACTCACCAAACTGACTTGGAAATATGTTGCTGTTTGATTGGTGTTGCTGGGTCAAAATCCTGGAATTTCCTGCTTGAGGTCATTGTGGGTCTACCTACAGCATATGAACTGCAGCAGATCCAAAAGGCAGTTCACCACCACCTTCTCAAGGGCAACTAGGGGTGGGCAATAAATGACATCCTACGAATGAATCACAAAGCCTGCCATTAAACACTACCTATTGTTAGTCACTAACAGTCCCCATTAACAGCTCATCACCCTCCTAGCCTGATCGTTATCAACTCCTTTGTCTATCAACTGCTGTTCTCTCTCTTCGGGCTGTATCCTATCGTTTACTCCCTACCCCATCCCCCTCCCTTTTTTCTGCATATAAACTGACATTTTCTTAGCTACCATCAGTTCTGAGGAAGGATCACCGGACCCGAAACATTAACTTTTTTTTCTCCACAGATGCTGCCAGACCTGCTGAGCTTTTCCAGCAATTTCTGTTTTTGTTCCTGATTTACAGCATCCACCGTTCTTTCGGTTTTCAAAAATTGGCTGAACTGTTTGAGAAAACAACAGTCTTATTTCGATATATTGTCCAGTGACTTCTTTCACAAGTCAGGCTGGTTTGCCATCTTGAAACTGAAGCTTGCATATGGCTGCTGCATTGAGTCTGAATACTGAGGCACCGGGCTGCCCTGCCCTGAGAGTGTGGCCGGTCTTTCAAAACAGAATCCTATCATTAGCAGAGAAGGAAAAGGTTAGGAGGCAACAAAGAGGTGGCACTAGGTGATTCGCTCTTGTAGCTGGCCAGCACAGACTCAATGGGCTGAACGACTTCCTCCTGTGCTGTAATCAATCCTAAATTCATCAATCTGGATTCCCATCTGAGCATACACTAGGAACTCAACAGTTTCTCTGTTGCTTTTGAGAAAGGAAGAGTGTCGCACTTCCAAAATGTTTTCTCAAGTGTGGAAATCCAAAGGCACTCAGTGACAATCCTTTCCTGGTAGCTGGTCAGTGTCACATTTGCTGCAGGGACACATTGAGGAAGGAATAGGCTTGGTATTTGGAGATTCAGTGGGAACCACTTAGAAAACATCAGCTCTCTGCTGTCCTCCGGCGCGCAATCTCATTTTAGCATGATCACGAAAGATCTTTGTTTTCCCTGAAGGTCATTGAACACTTTAAGACTGAGATGAGGAGGAATTTCTTCTGAAACTTTGGAACTCCTTGCCACAGAGAGCTATGGGGGCCAGTCCTTGTGTATATTTAAGGCTGAGATAAATAGATCCTTGATCAGTAGGGTAAATCAGTGGTTATGGGGAAAGGGCAGAAAAGTGGAAATGAGGAATGTCGGATTAGTTATGATCCTTTTCAATGATAAAAGTCACACGACCCCAGGTTATAGTCCAACAGGTTTATTTGAAATCACAAGCTTTCAAAGCACTGGTCCTTCATCAGGTGAAGTGGAGGGAAGCACACAGGCATGGAATATATTGGTGGAGAGATAATGGCAAGGTAATTCCAAGTTATTAACAGTGTCAAAAGATGGTACAAATAGTGCGAGTGTCAACAGGCTGAGTAGCAAGTGTAGGGGTGACCTATGAATCAATTAATTAAGGTGGAGAGATAATTACAAATAATCAAAAATAAGATGGTGCTGGAGACAAACCAAATGACTGGAATAACATTATAGGTATAAGAGCCGAGGGTCGAACCAAAGTTACAAGTAATCCAAAACTGTACAAACTAATTAAGGTAGTGAGATAATAACAAGTAATCAAGGTGATGGTGTCAAACAGAACAGTAAGGAAGATTTTGCAAACACAGAACAGTATGGTGGGTTACAACTAGCGCAACATGAATCCAAGATCAAAGTTGAGGCCGTCCTCGTGAGTATAGAACTTGGCTGTCAGTTTTTGCTTGGTAATTCTGCATTATCGTGTAATCAGTTTGTAGGTCACCCCTTCACTTGTTATTCAGCTGTTGATACTTTATTCACACCTATTGGTACTTTTGATCACCTGTAAAGACTTGTGATTTCAAATAAACCTGTCGGACTATAACTGGGTGTCTTGTGAATTATGACTTTGTCCACCCCAGGCCAATACTGCTATGTCCACATCGTGGTTTTACAATGGTAGAGCAGGCTTGAGGGGATGAACGGTTTGCTCCTATTTCAATTTATTATAGATTTATGCCTCTTATAATCAGACAGAATTGCTGTTTGTGGGATGATACTAGTAGTGATGTGGTTGCTATATATTTGCTCAGAGAGCAGTAGTAACAATTCTTCAGAAATGTTAGAACTAAGGAATGGGCTCACTTATGTTGCTATTTTAATGCATATGTTCGTCAATCCTCATGAGAATTACATGGACCCAAGCTCATTTCCAGGAAGCGTTCACACATCTTGGGTGGCACTTGGTGGCTCAGTGGTTAGCACTGCCTCATAGCACCAGGAACCTGGGTTCAATCCCACCCTTGGGGGTCTATCTGTGTGGAGTTTGCATATTCTCCTCGTG